GAAAATCCTACAGTTCGTTTTTTTCCTTGTTGATCAGTCATTACAAAGTCGCTGGAATGCTTTTGTATTTTGTGTACAGTCGAGTTAAAAAAAACTGTTACTGAAACTACTGTTTCAGGAATACTTCCCTTGGTCATTATATTCTCCGGGTATTAATGCTCTCTTCATTTTGCAAGAACACCACCACGTGCAACTCAAAGACAAACCAAGCGTTTCAGCTGGAAGAAAGAAGTCGTTACGTCTCGAACGGTAGGACATTAATTTTGTCTTTCATTGAGGTAGCTGTGATGTGCTGTAGGCAAAGGAAACACTTCAGATTCAGTAAATTAACAACTTTGGAGACTAGCTAGCTACTGTTAAGAAAATTTTCCAACATTTTGCTTGGAGCCTATAGAGAAGAATCAACCCTCGGCTCCAAATTACAATGTAGTGCTTGCAATTTTTCCCCTTAGATTCCTCTGTTATCGATGATAAAAAGACGGGTTTCCTACCGCAAGCAAATTCTGGAACTTTAACTTCAGACAACCCTTTGTACTTCGCTGTGGAAGACCTAAAAGAAATTCAAGAACCTGTTGGCAATGCTCAAAATCAGTCGGAACCAATGTACAACGAAATAGATGAAAATAGTGCAATAGACTCAGACAGGGCTTCGTGGTATGGGTCCGTGCCCGTTGGAGATCCATTTTACAACACTTTGGAGGGACCCCATCAATGCGGTGCTTCTCCTCCTACAAATGACCATGTTTACAATGTCCTTGAAAGGTCCAGCCAAAGTTTTACAGAGGGAGGGGATGTTTATTCTCAGTTGACCGCTAAAGACCCTGTGTATAATGTTTTAGAGGGTCCAGATCCATGTAACGATAATGAAGGCCCACTGTATTCTAACAGCACAGAGGCTCGATACTCTAACAGTCCTACAAACGCCCCAATATATGCGGTGGCCAATGAGAAAGGATAAAAAGCCCTCGAACAACAATTCGGATGGAAGGCAGCCACAGGTCCAAAGATGAGTAGTGCTACAAATTATGAATGAGGACAAAGATTCGTACAAAATTAAAATTCCTCGTATAACAGACGATTGCGACTGCGTGTTTTTCTTCCACACCCTCAATTTTAGATCTCTTGCTACAAGAATTGTTTGTTTGAAGAAAAAACGAAATAGGTGTTTATTGGTGGCTTTGA